TCTATAAAAGGCCCCTTTCTAAAAGACCCCTCTCTAAAAGAGCCCACATAAAAATACCTCTAAAATTAAACCCATGACTGTCCAAGATTCGAATTGTAAATTGCCCCGACTAAAACCCACACAGCCGAATGTGGCGAAAACCACACGGCTGAATGTGTAAAAAACCCACACAGTCGAATGTGGTAAAACAAAACACACGGCTGAATGTGGTGAAAAACCCACACAGTCGAATGTGGTAAAACAAAACACACGGCTGAATGTGTAAAAACCCCACACAGTCGAATGTGGTAAAACAAAACACACGGCTGAATGTGGTGAAAAACCCACACAGTCGAATGTGGTAAAACAAAACACACGGCTGAATGTGTAAAAACCCCACACAGTCGAATGTGGTAAAACAAAACACACGGCTGAATGTGGTGAAAAACCCACACTTCTGAAAGTGATACAAAAATTTTGTTTGTTTCGTTTGTGATGCGTCTCCCATCAGAAGTTTTTAATTAACCATCTTGTCCAACTTCCGGTCAATATCCGATCAATATCCGGTCAATATCCGGTCAGCTTCGGGACGAACCAAAGATTATTGTGACGAACCGAAGACTATTAGGACGAACCAAAGATTATTACGACGAACTAAAGATTTTATGGGACGATCTAAATATTATTGGGACGAACCAAAAGTTATTGGGACGAAATATCTAGGGCGATTCGAATGTGTTATGCCTAAGCTAATCAATGATATTTTATATTTGATGTTTGAACGAAATGCACGGCAGGCATTTCAAGACGACAGGCAATCTTCAAGAAAAAAGACAATTTTATTTTTAAGTTTTGACATCTGCAACAGCCTTGAACTTGCAAGCAACAAAATTTGTCTCAAAATTACATTAAAATCACGCGCATGGTTTGTTTTTGGATGACGTCACTTCCCAATTCTCGCACACCGGAAATGGAATTGTGGTTGATGTGGGTGTGCCCCAACCAAGTGTACGGGCGGAGTTTGATGCATACATCACATCAAGTAACGATCGTCCCCAGCGGGCGCATGATAATACAACATCCAATCAGGCTGATTTAATCAAGTGGAGGGTGTCGAGTGGTCGAACAGTAGAGCCCATGCCTGCTAACTCACAAGGCATGTATTTGGTGGAGGTTAAAGGTCATAGTTTGTTCAAGGTAGAACAGCTGCTTTACTTTAACTTCCATCAAGTTGACGTTAGAATCTAGGGGGGGGGGGGGGGCATGGTAACAAGTGCGTCATTGTGGCTTGCAACGTTGGAGACAGATTTTTTTTTTTTTTAATCTGCTTGAGATCTGCGCTAGTTGGATACGCTCATATACTAGAAGAGATGAAAGTTTAACTTATTACTTGTCGTTGTTTTGTTTTCAAACACATGTTTGTATAATGGGCATTTTTCATAAAAGATAGTTTAACCTTGGTGTTAGATTTAGGCCAACACTTATGTTTAGTTTAGGATTAAGGTTAAACTAGTAATGTAAGCAAAGTCAGGGGCGAAGCGAGGGGGGGGGGGGGGGGCGGGGGTGCGGACCGCACCGGGTGACACCATTTAGGGGGGTGACACCAAGGCAAAAAATAGCAAAATATATAGAGAAAAACTTGAGGAGGGGGGGGGGGTGGTGCAAATCGAAAGCTTGAGAAGGGGGGTGCAAATCGAAAACTTGAAAGTTTGTCCCCGCAAGGGTCGCTACGCCTCTGGGGGGGTGACACCATTAAGTGCCGCACCGGGTGGCACCCGACCTCGCTACGCCACTGAGCAAAGTTACAGTTAGGGTAGGAAAATTATTCAGGTTGAAATATCATTTTCAACAAGCTCATAACATGTCAGTATTGCAAGACGTGGTTGAGTTGTAGAGCTAATGACTGCTAACACGAAAGCCTTGAGTTCAGATCCCAGGGCCTAGTATGTAGGAAGTCCCTAAAGAACAGCATTTATCTGTCCAGTGTGTATTGGGCACGAAAAGTATGCGAATGGTTTAATATTATGTTGTTGTTCTAGGTATAAACACAACATACATGGAGCATTAACTTTAAAGCTCATGCTCTTCTTCAAGTGAAGATTTGAAAACACCGTGTACTCCAATCTCCTTTCGATGGTTTCTATTTTTATATTTTAGTCAAGGGCGGCAACCGACAGTTGTAACTTTGGCCAGTGAGTCAAGAGTTATCAGGTTACGTTTCGATTCCCAACTAATGAAATTTATTCTTCGATTTGGCCGGAAGTCAAGCCCTGAGATCGAAGGGCTTTAAAACACCAGCCCGTCCCTGGGATTGATTTTTATTGTATCGCCTGGGTGGGAGCAAACGTCAAACAATCGGTGGGGAGGGGGTGCCCGGCCCCTCACAGGGACAAACGTGTCGGGGCCCCACACCCCTTGGGGGCAGGGGGAGGAGTTTGCTGGCAAATGATGCATAGATGAGAGATACGGGTGGGGGATGGGGCACAGGGGCGGGCAACCCTTGCTTCAGCTTGTGTGGAGGCTAGCAAATGTTGACCATTAAATCTTTGAGTTGGGTGGTTTTTGTGGAAGGAAAAAAAGTAGGCACAACGCTGGCGTCAAGTTAATTTTGATTAAAATTCAGTTGGTTAAATATTTGCCACAGCGTACAGTATTTTTCAATTTCTGACGAAATTCTTTTCTTTTTGGCGATGATAAACTAAAATAAACCGGGAGTGATCTCCCCTAAACTTTCTCGAATATTCTTAAATAAAATAACAGGGGATGGGAACTCGGGCTATAGACATGATTTTTAAACCATTTTAAATACTTAAAGTTTTAAAAATAGAATAAAATCTCGTAGACAAATTAATTGCACACCAAGTGAACGCCAAATAAAAAAGCGCATAATAGTGCGCAATATTATTAGTACTTTTAAAATTTACATTAGTTTTTTGAGAAATCGGAAGTAGCGTAAATTACTACTTCCTGTCAACGGAAATTACTCAAAATTTAACAGAAGGTAGAGAATTAGATCTTTTACTTACATGTGAAATTTCATTTATCTATCTGAAATAGTACTCAAGTTATAGGCTTTTGAAAAATTCAAAGTAGGAAAAGTACCACTTCCGGTTATCAGAAATCGCTCAAAAGTTGATACGGATCTACGATTTTGATAAAATACTTCTATATGAAATTTCATCAACCTAGCTGTAACGGTACTCAAGTTATCGTGTTTACACACACACAGACAGACAGACAGACAGACAGACAGACACACAGACATACGGACAAGATTGCAAAATTATGTTTTTCCGTATCAGTGAGATGTAAAACGTCGAGATTTGCAAAAATCTCGATTTTTTTTTGAGCGATTACAAGATTTTCTCTATACTTCGTATATACGAGAAAGTAAAAAAAGTGATAACATTTTTGTAACAAGATCGACTATAGTGGAAAAAGTTGAAAAATAGGAAAAACAAATAAAATAAACCGCACATTCAGTGGGATTTCCCCAGCAGCAGGTGTTTAGATTTTGCTGCAGGTGTGGCTAGTCTGATCGAGGCTGTAGTAGCGAGCTCACCAATTGACACCGATGAGCACAACTCACCCAAAAACAATAATCTGCTCACTGTAACTAATAAACCCCCACCCTTCCACAATGGACAGAACAAAAGGTAGAAATGTGTTGGACGATTGCGTAAAACCTAGCATGTGGTTTGATGATTTGAACGAAGTTACTCACAGCACAGTTTGTTTGTGTGAGGACACAGTTTTAATTAGGTCAAAGAATCCCCCCTCACCATTCCCCCCTCCCCCCCCCCCCCCGTACTGCTAGTACAGCATGTTTGACATCGACCCGGGGACGGGATTACAAGGCGTGGGGCGGAAGCTACGGCTACTAATGGACGTTAAGTCCCGACCCCCCGCCCGTCGGGATGGGCTGCTGGTTATAGACCACGGGGTCTGTCGGATCAACTGGTCACGTGATGTTTACACAGAAGTAACGTTTACCTCAGACTTTAACTTATAAAGGTGCGTACACTTATTGACACCTGAATCAATTTGAAGCTTCAATAAGACTTTTATGATAGGAAGAAAAGAAATTTAGCTCTGTCGCAGATATTTTGTCTTTAAAAGATATTTTATCCTGAAATATTTGTCGTATATTTTTTGTCTTTCAGATATTTTGTCCTAAATTTTTGTTGTAGATATTTGTCTTTAAGATATTTTGTCCTTCAATAAGACTTTTATGATAGGAAGAAAAGAAATTTAGCTCTGTCGCAGATATTTTGTCTTTAAGATATTTTGTCCAGAAATATTTGTCGTAGATTTTTTGTCTTTCAGATATTTTGTCCAGAAATATTTGTCTAAGATTTTTTGTCTTTCAGATATTTTGTCCTAAATTTTTGTTGTAGATATTTGTCTTTAAGATATTTTGTCCTAAAATATTTGTAGATATTTAGTCAAATTAAACTAACGCCGATGTTGTCAAATGAACAAAACGATTTTAGAAAATATTTTTTTTCACTTGAATCTTAATTTGTCGAAGTTCTTTATTTTTTTTATCATAGACAATTTAGTATCTGGGCGTCAGCGAGCTTAAACAAATTTGGGAGTCATGGAGCTTAAACAAGTCAGGGAGTCAGGGAGCTTAAACAAGTCTGGGAGTTTAAAGAAGTCTGGGAGTCAGGGAGTTTAAAGAAGTCTGGAGGGCAGTGAGTTAAGAAATGTGTGAATCCACTTTGTTAGAGGGCGGGGAGATGAGGGCAGTGATAGCCAGGAGAGGATCAGGGAGGATTTGAACATGAGGGATTAGGGCTGAGGTTAAGGAGCTTCAGGGCAAGGGGCGCTTTAAAAGTGACATGGGGGGGGGGAGCCATGGGGGCGGGGTTGGGGAGCCATGGGGGCGGGGTTGGGGAGCCATGGGGGCGGGGTTGGGGAGCCATGGGGGCGGGGTTGGGGAATAGATGAGGTGAACTAACCTTAGTACAAGCTGTTGGTGGAGTTAGCGGGGTGGGGTCGGTGTATTGTGGGGCCATTTATAAGGGAGGAATGTTTGGATGACTGAAGGTTTGGATGACTGAAGGTTTGGATGACTTAAGGTTTGGATGACTGAAGGTTTGGATGACTGAAGGTTTGGATGACTGAAGGTTTGGATGACTTAAGGTTTGGATGACTGAAGGTTTGGATGACTGAAGGTTTGGATGACTTAAGGTTTGGATGACTGAAGGTTTGGATGACTCAAGGTTTGGATGACTCAAGGTTTGAATGACTGAAGGTTTGGATGACTGAAGGTTTGGATGACTGAAGGTTTGGATGACTGAAGGTTTGGATGACTCAAGGTTTGGATGACTCAAGGTTTGAATGACTGAAGGTTTGGATGACTGAAGGTTTGGATGACTGAAGGTTTGGATGACTGAAGGTTTGGATGACTCAAGGTTTGGATGACTCAAGGTTTGGATGACTGAAGGTTTGGATGACTGAAGGTTTGGATGACTGAAGGTTTGGGTGACTCAAGGTTTTTATGACTCAAGGTTTGGTTGATAGAATGTTTGGATGACTGAAGGTTTGGATGACTGAAGGTTTGGATGACTGAAGGTTTGGATGACTGAAGGTTTGGATGACTGAAGGTTTGAATGACTGAAGGTTTGGATGACTGAAGGTTTGGATGACTGAAGGTTTGGATGACTCAAGGTTTTTAAGACTCAAGGTTTGGTTGATAGAATGTTTGGATGACTGAAGGTTTGGATGACTCAAGGTTTTTAAGACTCAAGGTTTGGTTGATAGAATGTTTGGATGACTGAAGGTTTGGATGACTGAAGGTTTGGATGACTGAAGGTTTGGATGACTGAAGGTTTAGATGACTGAAGGTTTTGGGGTTTGACTTGATTTACGGTGAGTGTGGGGAGAGGAGTATTATCATGGGGAGTGTAGTCATGGAGAGTGTAGACATTGGGAGTGTAGACATTGAGAGTGTAGTCATGGGGAGTGTAGTCATGGGGAGTGTAGTAAGATTAAGCTGTGCATGCTAAAAGTTAAATTAAGGCGAAAAGCTAACATAGGCAAAAATCAAATGTCAAATTATCGTAGCGACCCTCACATAACCCCCACACCTAACACCTAGTTATTACATAGAGACCCTCACATAACCCCCACTCGACCAGATAACACCTAGTTATTACATAATACACCCCGTCAAGTCCCCCACCTATTCCTAAAATTCCATTTCTTTTCTTTTAAAATATTTCCCCAAATGAAATGTAATTAAACCTTCTCATCAACTGGAATAATCAGGGAGAGAATCTCTACGGGCGCCATCTTGATGCTTGAAGCTGCCGATCTGAGATTTAACTTCTGCCCATCTGAGATTTAACCTTCATGATTTCCTAATCTTCTTACTACCACGTCAAAACGGTGTTAATGCCAAGATTTTTATCCGTGTTTACCTTCAATACCGTTTAATACGTTAAAGAATTAAACGTACGTAATCCAAAAGAAGTATTTTTTTAAAAATCGATGTAAACCAACAAATCAAAACCCACAGCAACCTCCACCCCCCCCCCCCCCACCCCCAGCCTCTAGTTGATCGTGTCACTTATGGTGCGATAGCTGTTCATATGGAGCCGCTTTAATATCTACTTCTATTGATGTCTTAGGGGGTATTCTTCTCTTAAGACAATGCCAGCTTACTAATGACGTCATCAAAAGCTGTGACGTCGAGCCAATTCTGGGACAACTTGGAGCCAACATTGTTCCGGCTTTGACCCTACTCTGGCCCAACTCTGAACAAAATCTGAGCCACAATGAGCCAACTGTGGGCCATGCATAAGTGACTATGTGCCAACTATAGGCCATCGTTGAGACAATGAGCCAACTTTGGGCCATCCCTGAGCCTTTGAGCGATGTCTCAAAGAAAACCTACACTTACCTTTCCTCCCCGACTCACCAACTGCTATCCCCCCTCCCCCCTCCCAACAATCCTCTGGAAATCGATGACGACATAATGACGTCACGATGACGATTGTATGACGCCAGTTGTCCGTAAGACCGGTGAAAGTCTGTGGGCAAGCCGCAGACAGACTTATGTCTTCCTCCTGCCCTCAGATCCGTCTGTTGAGCTGACAGGCCGACAATAGGGCTCCGACAATAGGGCTCCGATCCCTGACAGATCTATGTCTTGGTGAGTACGTTTGCTTTGAAGCCGCTCGTGAGCAGTCTAAGACGAGCCTAGGATTGATTCTCGCTCACACACAGCCCCCCCCCCTTCCCCCACCCATCGTCGTTGATGGTAGATTACAGGTCGCCCAGGTTGCCACCGGAAATGACGTCAGAAATTCAAGTCACAGAGTCTCGTAAAACAACGGGATTTCTCGAGGTCCGCGTGAGTTAATTAGAGTACAGCAACGCGGGATCAATGGAACGGCGCTTTGAAGGAATAAAAAGATCTCAAGTGCGCTGTGGCTAGTCAAAGGGTCTATACAGAGAATGGAACCCTGGCTAGTCAAACTATCTACACAGAGAATCGAACAGTGGCTAGTTAAAGGGTCTACAAAGGAAATTGAACTCTGGTTAGTTAAATATTCTACACAGAGAATGAAACTCTTGGTAGCCACACGTTCTACACAGATAATCGAACTGTGGCTAGTCAAAGGGTCTACACAGAGAATCGAACCAGCATTAGTACAGAAAGTAACTACGATGACTTTGATATGCGTGGGTGGCAGTAATGTCGGGGGGGGGGAAGGCTGTATAGGTCAAAGGTCAACGGTAACCGCGTACAAGATGGCCGATGAAAGGGTTGAGATAGAGAATTGAAGTAGGATGATGACGGTGGAGGGGGGTCGCTGGAATCAACACGTTTGAGGACCGCGACAAGGTAACTGGTAACTGACATGGGGTAACTGGTAACTGGCGTGAGGTAACTGGTAACTCTGGCATGAGGTAACTGATGTGTGTAGGGGGGGGGGGAAGATGGTTAAAATGTGAAGTGCATATGGGTTGGAGTGACGGAGTGTTAGAACGAAGAACCACCATGGGGTGCAGGGAGGGGGGGGGGGTGGCAGACACGTGTCTTTAAAAAAAAATGACCGCTCGACGCTGTTTGAACTAATTGATGTTTGCTTGTAACGAGCGCCAGGGTGTGAATTAAAACTAAAAAATCGCCCGCCATTTTTAGTTCCGTCAAGCTCATTAATCAGGCCGTTTTTTTTCTTCGCGGAGAAATCTTGTCCTTCAATGGCCGCGTCACTTTCACATGACGGCACAGGAGTTGATGCCATCACCGGGGATGTACTGCTCATGGCTGCTCCGTACTGCTCCGTACTACTCCTTGCTGCTCTGAACTGCTCCTACCCGTTCCGTACTGCTCCATACTGCTCCGTACGGCTCCATACGGCTCCATACTGCTCCGTACGGTTCCATACTGCTCCATACTGCTCCGTACTGCTCCATAATGCTCTTCTATACTGTTTTATACTGGTCTCTGCTGTGTTTAACTTGCCCGTGTTCCTCAGTACTGCTCTACGCCATTTCTTACTGTTCTTGCTACTCCATTGAACTGACTGGGTGCGGCCTTGTACTGTTCTATGAACCACTGTGCTGACCAAAACACCCCATGCACCTCATGCACCCCCATACACCCCCATACACCCCATACAACCCATACACCCCCATACACCCCATACACCCCATGCACCCCCATACACCCCATACACCCCCATACACCCCCATACACCCCATACACCCCCATACACCCCCATACACCCCATACACCCCCATACACCCCATACACCCCATACACCCCCCATACACCCCCATACACCCCCATACACCCCATGCAGCCCCATACACCCCCATACACCCAAATACACCCCATACACCCCCATACACCCCATACACCCCCATACACCCCATACACCCCCCATACACCCCCATACATCCCATACACCCCATACACCCCCATTCACCCCAATACACCCCCATACACCCCCTTAAACCCCAATACACCCCATGCACCCCATACACCCTCATACATCCCATACACCCATACACCCCCACACACCCCCATACACCCCATATACCCCATACATCCCATACACCCCATACACCCCCATACACCCCTTACACCCTCATACACCCCATACACTCCCATACACCCCATACACCCCCATACATCCCATTCAACCCATACACCCCCATACACCCCATACACCCCTTACACCCCATACACCACTTACACCCCCATACACCCCATACACTCCCATACACCCCATACACCCCCATACATCCCATTCAACCCATACACCCCCATACACCCCATACACCCCTTACACCCCCATAAACCCCTTACACCCCATACAACCCATACACCCCCATGCACCCCCATACACCCCATTCACTCCATGCACCCCCATACACCCCATTCACTCCATGCACCCCCATACATTCCAGTGCTGCTGTGAACGCGTAAAAAAAACCTCTCGCCAACAAGTCAACTGATTACATTGGCGTAAGGGTCGAGTTGTTTTTTATCGCTGTCCTCGTCGTTAATGTCAACATTTCTTAAGTGTGTTAATTGACACATTAATTGACATATTAATTTCTTAATTAACATCATCTAAAAGAGATTTATGGATAAAATGTAAAAATATTTAGAAATTAAAAATTACTTAACTTTTGTTTAAAGTGTGTCATTAGCGAGAAACTTGGCTGGAAAATTTCGAGCCTCAAGTTTTAAAAGCATTAATTGCTATTTAAAAGAATTAATTGCTAGATATATTGTATCACATGTATAGCACTGGCTACAGCTCAAGGTTCAGGAGAATACGCTTGTAACATTGCTACATCGCTACGTTGTTACACGTCTAAGTGATACATCACAAGTCACTAATGTGAGATCAGTACAACCGCCGGAGGTCTTGCTAGCAGTAGCGTAGCGAGGGGGGGGGGGACATATCTCCCCGGGCGCCGACCTTAGGGGGCGCCAAAATGGGTTGGAAAAATAAATTGAAAGGTTGAGGGGGGTGCAAATCGAAAGCTTGAGGGGGGGGGGGGGGGGTTGCAAATCGAAAAGTTTGAGGGGGTGTAAATCGAAATCTTGAGGGGGGGGGGGGTGGTGCAAATCGAAAGTTTGAGGGGGGTTGTAAATCGAAATCTTGAGGGGGGGGGGGGGGGTGCAGATCGAAAAGTTTGTCTATGACCCGGGAAGGGTCGCTACGCCTCTGGGTCCATGTGTCACAATTAGCACAGAATGACCAATTTCAGCTGTCATGTGGTTCACCCCCCCCCCCACCCCCACCCACCTCACACCTTACATGGTTAGTTTATGACGGGAGAAAGTGTGTGTGTGTGAGTATGTGGGTGAATGTGCTCTTGTTGACGTGGTTGCATGCTCTATTTATAATGACCAATCACAAATCTCCTGTCGGTATGCTAAAGGTAGTTGGGCATGCTGGGAAATAAACAATTAGCACGACCTGTCAGAGTTTGGTCAACTGTGATGTCACGTGATTAGCTCCCCTTAGGTAAATATGTCACAGTTACGTCCCCTGGTGAGCAATCAATGAGCGGTGACGTAGAACCCTGTCATCCAGTGTGGGTGACGTCACCACCCTCGACTCTCGCGGGTTCACGCGATCTACGAGATTAGCGAGATTATGGTAAGGAGATCACGTTAAAGACCTGTGGATCTGGGACAACAAAACACAGAGTTACCCCAAACCTTGCTGACCCTCATGTCATATCGCTGCCCCCCCCCCCACCCACCACTCATCCCACTGAACCCAATCACCCTGTCCTCGATCCCACCCATCCAACCCCACCCCACGCACAAATCATTAACTACTACCTAAGACCCCCATCACTTCCTCGATCACTGATCCCGACTACCTCAACCACGCCTCCCCCTAAGTCACTAATCCTGACCCTATCCAATAACCAATGCCCGACCCCATCATAGATCCAACCTCACCCGAAATCTCCCCCCCCCCCCTCGTCTGACAATTCGCCCTCCCCCCCCCCCCCCCCCCAACCCCCCCCCCCCCCTTCCGGACCACCCACACCTCAGCTCTAGAACAAGTAAAATTTTCCGATTTTCCCCATTTTATATCATGTCCCTCTCCCCACCACTTCCCACCCCACCACCCCCACCCCAGCAGAACATCAGTATTTCACGCCCCGCCCCCTCCCCAGGTCCTCCCCATCACCCACTCACACCAGCATAAGCCATGCCAAGTGACATTCGATGACAAGTGGCATTCGATGACAAGTGGCATTCGGTGACAAGTGGCATTCGATGAGAGGAACGCGGCATAGCGACACGGTTCAACATCAAAACTCAACTAATTACAATCATTATCAAGATTTGTTGATCCTTCACGCTAGACCTCACAGCCGCTAAATTGCAGGTAATTTATCAACGCCACAAAAAACCATATGAAATCTCACCAACCATTTCATTTCGATTGCCGATTGATGTTCACCTAAACCAGTTTACCAGTATCAAACATATTTTCTGCCGACATTATCTGGCACATTATTGCCGGAAATTATAATTTAAAACTTCGACAGCGCCATAGTATAGCGGTTGTTCATTGTTTCTATAAAAAAAAAACAATAAATTATTTAGTCTCGTGGTCAGGTAACGTGTGTGTTGGGGCTATTGTTTTGTGATGTGTTCTATTGTGTTGTGCTGTGTTGTGTTCAATTGTCGTGCTGTGTTCTATTGTGTTGTGTTGTGTTCTATTGTTGTGTTCACGTGATGCTTGTGAGTCCTGTTGAAGTTGTAGATGCGCGGCGAGGCTACTGCGCATGCTGAAACAAGCTGATGACAGGGGTTTCCTGTTTTTAACTAGTTCTGATCAAATTTGTTAACACACTGGATATGAGAGTAAGGGTGAGGGAAAGATAGAAGCAGAGAGGTAGAAGAGGGAGCGTAGTGCACATCTGAATTTATATTTGTGTCTGTGTATACACTACACACTACCCATATTTGGTTACTGGGTATAATCTTAAAAGATCCGCCCTCCTTCCCGTCCAATACTACCAAACAGATCCCCCTCCATGTATTTAACATATATACCCCAAAGTCTGACGTGTTTCTTGCATGAGTACTTTGACTTTCATCTAGAACCTTAAACCGGTTCTGATGATTCTCAAACGGTCTATTGTCTAACCGGTTCTGATGATTCTCAAACGGTCTATTGTCTAACCGGTTCTGATGATTCTCAAACGGTCTATTGTCTAACCGGTTCTGATGATTCTCAAACGGTCTATTGTCTAACCGGTTCTGATGATTCTCAAACGGTCTATTGTCTAACCGGTTCTGATGATTCTCAAACAGTCTATTGTCTAACCGGTTCTCATACAATATATTAAATCAACCAGCGCTTTCCCAGCCTCCCCTAACCGCAGGTTTACCGAGAAAAAAAAAAGACAAATTATGATCTGAATGTGACACGTCAAATTCTTCCTTTCTCTTTATCAAGCACAGCTTTAGAATAATCCTGGGGGAATAGCCACGCCCTCACCATTCACGAGGTACTTCCGGTGCCATAGGGATGTTAGTTAACCGTCTTAGAGTGCCTGCAATTGTGGTACTCGGGTGACGAGGGGCTATTTCGTCAAAGACTTCTTGAAAAAAAAATTGATTCACTAACAAATTGAAAATTGATCGATCTAAAGACCTATTAGTAAAATTGAAATCCTAAATACGCAATCGAATTTTCAATCAAGTAAAAATAACAACAATAAAAATGGAATGTTAGACCATCTGATTTCATCTTTACATTCTTGTGGTTCAGTCATTGTCTAGCGAACTAACTGCAAACGTGCAATGTAAAAACTAATAAACAAAAATATAGAAAACATATAGAATGGTTGTATGCAGTTTTTTTATCATGAAATTAAGAAAAAAAAACCTAAAATAAAAGGGAATAAATTGATACAATTTTGCTTATTGCTATTATTAATTCCTTTTTTGCATAATATTTTTACCCCCAAAATGATTATAAAAGAAAAACCATTCTCAGGATAAAATAATTATTAACTCCCCCACAAAGAAATGAGGAATTAGGAATTTTTTAACCCACTTGAAACGTAAACATTAAAAAAAAAGGAAATTCCCGAAAATAAAAATAGCCGTGTAACAGGGTGTTAGATCCCATTCCCCGCCCAATTGATCCCCGACCCTCGGGCTGCGACAAAAAATGGTATCAATGTGAACTGACCCCTCTAATCCCGGACAATTCCGGCAAGGAGTGTGCGAGCCGTGCAATTTTCTTGCGCCAGACCGGCAAATTCCGGAAACACCGTTATGAATTTTGTTTGATTTTTTTTTTGGGGGGGTTGGGGGGAAAAGAAGTGAAGGGACGAATTGCGACCCGCGTGACGTCATCAGTATGGCTGACCGGAAGGGGAAGATAAGTCTTTCAT